ACCACCACCACCTGTACCACCACCACCTGTACCACCACCACCTCCACCATCACCACCCCTACCACCACCTCTACCACCATCACTTCCACCACCAACTCCACCACCACCTAAAGTTTCTGACATTTCATGTTCACATGTGATGCCATGGAAATGTCTAATTTTTAACACGTGAAGATGGGATTTTTCTATGTTCCGGAGTTGCATCACTCTGTACATCAAATGTGCTGCATCTCAGTTTTAAGAGTGCATCAGAATCCCTGGAGAGCCTATTGAATCAATACTGATTGACAGGCCCTAGTTGCAAGTGTACAAAGTGTATTTTAATCAGTTCCGGTCAATGGCAGGGACCTTGATCTGGGAACTGGACTCTGAGAGCTGCTGACTTTTTTTTTTAATGTATTTAGTACAGGGTCTGCAGGGTCTCACTACACAGATCGGACTCATAACGATTCTCCTGTTTTCAGCCTCCCAAGCACTGGAATTACAGGTGCGCGCCACCATGCCCAGTCGCAGTTGCTGTCTCAGTGTGGGGCGGGGCCATGAGAGCTGCTGTTGAAGAGAACATAACGGCACAGAAGGCTTGGGAGAAGGGGCAGGCTGTACTTGCAGCACTGTTGGGAGCTGCAAAGTGTTGGAAGCCATTTCAGTGACAGCAGGTGACGGGCAAATGAATCACAGGAGACACCACAAGGAAAATAGCACAGCAGGCCAAAGGCGCGGTAGGTGTGGTTGGGCCACTGTGGAGGGGTTACAGGTGCTGGCTCTGGCATCACTATGAGGAGGCAGTTCTGTAACTTTGGAGGAGGTGAAGAACCAACACTATAATCTGAACCTAATGTGTTAGGCTGCTTTAATTTACTTGTGGCATAACTTTCTAAAGGGACAAGGACCTTTAGATGTGCTCTCAATCTGAAGTCCACCTGTACTTGTTGAGTTAATTAGAACAGATCAGTGAAGTCTGCATCAGGCATAAATCATCCGAGGTCAGAAGCGATGCTTCTACAATGAATTTTCTGTTAAATGTGCCCTTTTAATTTTAATTATCACTCATGATCTCAAGGTTATAAGTCAAAGTCCTTGGGTTTATTAAAGCTCCTTACCTTTCATAAAGAAGACACTGAGAATTTTAAAATGTATTCCATCAAGATGCAAAATAATTATAAATTTATTTGACTTTTATGATAACTGGAATTTAGATATTCACCCAGCTCCCCACTCGCCTCTCAGGAGAAAGGCTAATCACCAGTGTGCTGCAGAGCACTGTTGCCATCTGAAGGATTCTGTCATGGAAGCTGATGGCTTTTTGTCTCCGTTGAGGTCAAAGGCAGTTTAAATTGGTCAGAGCTTGTTGCTTTACACTGTACGGTGACTCCAAGCTGGGTGACTGTGGAAACTATTTCTTCCCTTCTCGTGTGCGAAACGATGGTAATGGAGCTGCATTCACAGGGCTGCTACGAGAGCTGAGGTAGGTAAGATGTGGCCATATTTAGACAAATATGTGGCACACCGCTACCACTGTCGACCACAGAAAGAACTCCCTAAGGGCTAATAGAAGAAAAACTCAAGTTGTAGAAGAACATGTATGACATTGCATAAGCAAACCCCACAAGCATTCTGAGTGTTTTCCATGAGCCCAGGTGTGTAAACACTTGGCTCAGGGCCTGGAAGAATAGACTACTGCTAGGGCTTGTGTCTAGATGGCCCACCAAGCCTGATGTGGTCACAGAGGTGCGTGGGTCAAGGTGTGTGGTTGCCAAATTAGTCCACAGCGGGTTTGGCGTAGCTGTGGGTAGGCTTAAGGGTGCTTCACCTGAGGTGTGAGTGCTGCCTGCCCTAAGGGTATGTAGTCTGGATAAATATAAGGGACAGAAAGAGGGCTGCTGTCACTGCTTGCGGCTCTTGCTGCCTTCTGCCCAGCATGGACTGTTCCTCTGTGATGCTCCTCTGCCAAGCCACCGTACTCTGGGGCCAGCCGGCTGTGGCCTGAAACCTCTACATACTGTAAGCCAAGTAAACCTTTCCTTCTTTCACTTTGGATGGTGAATATTTTGTCTCAACAATAAGAAAATTAACCAAGACACCTACGGAGTGATATCGGTGCTAACCTCTGGGGAGACGAAGGAAGACTAGATTCACCGGGGACACGGCCAGAGCGAGCGTGGCCTTTAACTGCAATGCCATCTTCGTTTTTGCATGATGCATTTATTTAGCGATACTTGTGTGATTTTTCCGGAGAACTCACTTGTCACTTTGGCAAATGAAAGTCACATAGTGAATGAGGTAATACAAAAATAATTAACATTATGAAAGTCAAAAGAGAAAATAAGATTGATAACTATGAAAATATTTTCATGTTAAACTAAAATTGTGTTTTTATGCTGGGTAGTAATTCAAGTTACTATTTATATTTCATTATTTTATTTTAGTTGTTACTGAGAAATACGAATGTAATGATACTATATGTGTGATGAATTTTGCCTTCTTTGTTCCTTAAGAAACTGGAGAAGCTTCATGGGCCAGATCTTTTTTTTTTTTTTTTGTGGTACTAGGGATCAAACACAGGACTTGTGTTTGCCAGGCAAGCACTTATTCCCCTGGGCTGTCTCCCCAGCCCATGGGCCAGATCTTGATGCGTAACACAGGTTATGGAAGCAACAGAGGGACAAAGCACGTGCTACCCAGTGGCTTCTAGAAATTCGTGGTGCACAGTGTTAAGGAGCTGGAGGTTCTACTGACGTGCAAGTCTTACTGTGCAGAGATTGCTGACAAAAATCTCCTCTAAACACCGCAAGGCCATCGTGGAAAGACCAGCCCAGCTGGCCATCCGAGTCACCAGCCCCAACGCCAGGCGAAGGAAACTAGCAGACAGCCCATGTGCATGTTTATTTGTGCTTCAGTAAAGACCACATACACACAAACCAAACCAAACTGTGCTTAAATTCTTCAGATTTTCAAAGTCAAAGACTACCTTGTCCTTCCTCTGGGTAAGTTGTTGGCGATAAGTAGTTTGGCAGACGTAGGGTTACTTTTGTACTGCATTGTTTCAGAGCCAAGATTAAGCTGCATAACTGAACGCTGTCTCTTGTAGCCTTTTTAATAGTATGTGTATCAATTTGCTAAATTTTGAAAGGCACTTTGGTTTAGTAGCTCCATAATGTTTTTCATTTTGTTGGGTAACATTTAAGATGTACAAGAGAATCCCTTAGTTACTGATCTGCCCTGAAATACTGTGCCATTTCTTCTCTGTCTAAGCAAGAGTACGGAATTTATGTTGCTATGGCTGAGAATTAAAGTAGGCAGACCATTGATGGAGCAAATTGTGCGCAAGAGTGGCTGAGAGCTGAGAAAGAGATAGGTTGAGAAATCTAGAATTTTTAAGGTTTAGTTTTTAAACCTTAAAAATCCACCACCCAGAATTTGACAGAAGGAGCCAGGGGATTGACTTGGTGAGCTTCCGACCACACATGGAGAAGCCTTGCTGGGCCCCCGCTGGCAGTTCCATCCAGGCATTGGATACTGGGAGCAGGAGCTTCTTTGGTCCAGCTCTTCAGCTGCCAGAGCTGAGGCAACTACACACCATAATGTGTGAAGGAACCCAGGCTGCCGAGGTACTCAGAGGCAAGCAAAGGAGTGGTTAAGGTGCTTCAAAATGAAACATTTTTGCGCATGCTTGAAAACTATAAAAATGGTTATTAAATGTATAGACCTGCTCTTGGTTTTGTGTTCTTCGCGTATCCTCTCTCTAGGAACTCTGTCCCCACTAAGACTTCCTGCTCTTGAGGTAGTCAATGAGATGGCCTTTAAAAAAATTCTTTCTTTTTATCAACATGTACCTGGCCTGAGGTTCAGGAGCTCAACTGTACAATTCTTTGGGCTGACAGTTACTTAATTGTGTGGATTATGATCATCCATTTTAGGTCGTAAGTATGCATGGGAAGTGCTCTGACAGATTAGCAGTCTCCCAGGGATGCCCTTGCCCAAATCTGTGGAGCCTGTGGACGTGTGACCTTGGAAGGCAAGTGGAAGTCAAGGATGCCCATGAAAATAAAGCTGTTCTGGGTGGACTCAGTCTAATCACAAGGGTCTTTGAAGGTAGAAGAGGTAGGTAGGAGAGGACATCAATGTACAAGGATCAGCACGAGAGGGACTGGACCTGCCACTGCGGGCATTAAAGGTGGGGGTGGGGAGGTGGGGTGGGAATGGTGAGTGGTGGGGGTGGGGAGGTGGGGGAGGTTGTTAGACAAACACTGTGGGCAGCTGCTAGAATCTTTGAAAGGTCATCAAGCAGTTCTCACCCACAGCCTCAGCAGAACGTGGGATCTTCGATCCAATAAAGGCCCTTGTCAGCCCTTCCTGTCTTACACAACTACGGGGTTAAGCCGCGGAGTTTGCTGTAATTTGCTACTGCAGCAACAGAGAACCAGTATTTTCGTGGCATGGCTTTGTGGAATCACAAAAGTTTATCTGAAACGGCAGCATGTATACTAAAAATTGGAGCGACACAGAGAAGATTAGCACGGCCCCTGCGTAAGGATGAAACGCAAATTCGTGAAGCGTTCCACATTGGGGTCGGGGAGATGGCTCAGTAGAATAAGCGCTTGCCTGGAAGCGCAACGGCCTGAGTTCAACCCCCGGATTCCACAAAAACAACAACAACAAAAAACCCCAAAAAACAACCTCCCAGCATTTTAGGCTTGGGAGACAACTCGGTGATCTAAGCGCCTGCCTGGCAAGCACGAGGACCCAGGTTAGATCCCTGGAACCACATGCGGTGCTGGCCCCCCTGCTGAGCTGGCCACGGAAAACTGGGCGTGGGGGTGCACGCCTGTAATCCCAGCACTGGGAAGGCTAAAACAGGATGATCACTAGGAGTGTGAGCTGCATAGTGAGACCCTGTAGCAAACGAATAATTAAAAAAGAGTTTTAAAATAGTAACAAAACAGCAGTTTATTTCATGAGAACGTTAGTTATTATGGAAGGAAGTGTGGGGGTGACCTGTAGCTGGAGGCCCGCAGAAGCTCCACACCCTCAAAGCTCCAGCCATGCGCTCGGGAGGCCGCTGACGCTGACCTGAACCCGACCGCTCAGCGCCCTCCGAAGGTGTTCGCAGGGCGTCCTGCCAGTCGCTCCTGGCTGCCTGTATCTCCTGGTCCTCTCTCCCTTCTCTACCCAGCAGCCCTTCACACATACCTCAGTGCAAGGAATTCTGTATCCTCCCTCCCTCCCACAGGGAATAAAGACTCCATCCCCTAGGAAAATAGAGGTGAAGCCGGTGACATCAGAAGCACAAGGGAAGAATTTGAAAATCATCACTTGGCTTTCAGAGCTTTCTGTGTGTCTCTCTGTCTCTGTCTCTGTCTCTGTCTCTGTCTCTGTCTCTGTCCGTCTCTCTGTCTGTCTCTCTGTCTGTCTCTCTGTCTCTGTCTGTCTGTCTGTCTGTCTGTCTGTCTGTCTGTCTGTCTCTCTCTCTCTTTCTCTCTCTCTCTCTCTCCTCTCTTTTGTTTTTGCTCTGGTTTTTATCAGTATATGCTTGCAATACATAATAAATACACTCCTCCTGGGGAACTGGTACAGAAACAAACCACATCTTCACATTTTCTACTTTCTTTTCCCCTCCTCTCCTGTCTTTCCCATCCCCAGATCTTCCTGTCTCAAAAGGTCTTGCTCTCCTTTTTGTACCATTTATCTTTTATTCTGCTCTTTCAATTATTTATACTTTGGATTTCTTATATAAGAGAACCCACGCTCTTTGTCTGATGTACCTCACCTAGCTTTATGTGCCAGTGTGCATCTGCTTTCCTACAAAATGACTCAAATTAAGTTTCTTGATTCCCATGATAAACCTGCAGGTTTGATTTTTTTGTTTTGTTTTGTTTTGTTTAGGCTACTAGGAAAAGCAGGCAACACAGATTCAGTCCTTGGGACATTTTGACAGAGTGAGAACTATGGTTTCTAGATTTTTTTTTTTGCAAGAGATTTGAACAGTCAGGGAAGGCTGTGTCTCCTTCAGCCTGCTGTGCCTTGTGGCTTCTGTGGCTGGTGGTGGAGAGGCTGGAGTGGATGCTTCTAGGTGGCTGATACCCCATACCACCCTCCTTCGCCAGCCAGGCCGACACCCTCTCCTTCCTCCAGGGCTGTCCCCTGAGCTTCTGAGGTCAGGTCCATGCTAAGCAGAGGGTGATTTGCTCCTGCAGTGGGACAAATGGGCACCCTGCCAATGAATGCTCAAGTGCAGCGTCTCCGCAGCAGCAAGTTGCTGGATAGGGAAGAACTAGAATGGACATTCTAGGCATTGCGCAGTGAACAGCCCTGCACCCCAAGGACAGGCCTGTACCCTGCACCCAGGCAGTTGCGAGTCTGCTGAGGGCCTATGAACACTGTGCCAGGCTGCCTGTCTCTGAAGAAATCAGGTAGTCCATTTCTGTTTGGGGACAGCTCAATTTTTCTGTCTTCTTGTTTTTTTTTTTTTTAATGTATTTGATACAGGGTCTCTCTCAGACTTGGGGTGGTCTTCCTGCTTTCAGCTTCTCCAGTGCTAGGATTAAAGGTGTGCACCACCAAACCCAGTCTCAGTGGCCGGCTCAGTGCGCATGCGGTAAGCAGGCACTCAGTCTGCTGAGCTATCTTGCTGGCCCAATTTTTCTGTCTTCTAGGTAGGAGCACTAAAGGACCTGGTACTGAGCCCATGTCTTTGTTCCTTTTCTCCCTGGAGCCTCCAGCCCCAGAGCCACTGGCAGGATGCTGCTGTGCTGGGCCTGGGGGCCACCAGCTTTGAAGGATATGTCCCTGTCCTGCCTGGAAGCAAAGGACCCCAGCATGCCTTGTCTGGATGCACAACCCCAGTGCGGCCGAGCACAGAAACATGAGAAAAGAGCTCCTGACCTGCCCGAGGCTGCACCAGCTCTGGGATCCCACATCCTGTACTCACTGATGTCCTGGAGGGGCCAGAAAATCCCATGAGGATTATACAAGCAGGGCCAAGAATTCCAACCTGGGAAGCGGTCAGAACTGCTACCCTCCCTCCTGCTCTCCTTTGGCCCACAGCCATGCAGGATCATCCTTGCTGTTGGCCACACTGTGAAGCACATGATCTCTTTTCCTTACTGAGTGGAGAAAGAGGCTCAGCTCTGCCCACTGCTGTGCCCTGGCTCCTGGCGCATTGGGTGACGCAGGACTGGTGCCTTACAATCACTGAAGGAAGGAGGAGCCTTGAGCTGCGGGCTGGCAGGCAGGGCAGCACAGGGCCAGAAGCAATGGCAAGGGCTCTCTATAAAGCTGCTCCTGGGACACATAGCAGCAAGGACATGGCCTTTTAAGAAAGACACACTGCTGTGCAACTCCTGAGTTTCCTTGTTAAATAGGCCTCTTGTTCACTGGCGTGAGGCTTGCAGGTGTGCTCACGGTCATCTGCACAGCACCAGGGCATGGCCTGCACGCCGCAAGCACACGGAGGGGCTGCACAGGGGCTGGAATAACCTGAGGAAGAGTCTTTGCTTAATTTAATCTGAGCCAGGGGAGACTGCACAAGGGCTGATCCTGACCTTTTCCAGGGTCTAACAAATTTGGCCTCCTCCTTAGGAACAGCTGGTCAGGTCAGGCCACATTCTTGGGGTGTGATGTTCACTTGGTTCCTGCCCCTTTTCTGTCTCTCCAGCAAGCCCCAGGGAATGCTAGCTGATTGTAACCCTGGGCTTTTTGTCTGTTCAACATTTTCCTCCCAATTACAAAATGGTGAATTTTCCTCTCTGGGAGAATCTTTTTTTTTTTCTCCCTCTGGGAGAATCTTGAAAGGCAAGAATGATACAGTAGATTCAAGGAAGGTTTTAAACTGCAGGTGAAAATGTAATTACTAATAACTTAAGTTTGCAGACCAAAAATTAGAGAAAAAGAAGGGCTGCAAGGTCAGCCACCATTTTGGCCCTAGCCTTTCAAGGTCAGTGAGGACTCAGGACATGGGAGAACCTGTACGGTAACATCCTGTAACTCACTTGTGTCCCAAATTTTCTAATCAAGGAGAATATGGGGCCACAGAGGAAAGGGATTGATGATGTAGAGTGTGCCTAAGGAGAGTCACATGGAGAGAAAACATTCTCTCAGGCTTTCACAGACAGCAAACTGGTCAAGCAATGGTCGTGACTCATCCACATGGCCGACACCGACAAAGGATCTACAAAATGTGGTACAGGGTTTCAGGATAAATTCTGAGGGGATTTGATTGACATTATCAGATACAAGAGGTACATTTCTTGTTATATAGATCTTGCTTTATCTTGGTTTTAACCATCCAGCAGAAAAACATATTAATGAAGTATGAAAAGTAAAGCCATATTAATAAGCTGAGCTATAAAAGGCTCAAGTCAACAACTTCTGACATTGATAGGCCTACAGATGACCCACTACTATTATGGACCACTGGACTACATTGGATTATTTTGCTGAATTCACACACCTACAATATTTAAAGGGCAATGAAATACCCATCTCTGACAAAACTAAACAAAAAAAGGGGATACAAATGAAGGACCATTTTGTATCTGTATATACAGAATAGTTAGGATAGTTATACAGCTATATTCTATTAATTCAATGAATAGAAAGATTTTTTTAACAGTGTTTGTGGACAGGATATCATGTCTGCATCCTGTACTATGAATAACCACTACAAAGACAACAATATGCAATGTATTAGTTATTGAAATTGTCCTACTAGTCGGTTTTGAAACTGTCTCATTGCTATTTGTTTCTCAAAATTGATTTAAAAAATGAACTTTGGCCTGAGCAGGCTCATTCTTTTAGTTGTTCCTTCAAAGATACATATCGGGCGTGGGCTCTGCGCCAGGTGTCGGACAGCTCAAGCTTCTGTTGTTGCGGGACTCACTCACGGTGGGATCGGAAGTCCACACTGATGGGGCCTAGGAAGGAAGTCTGCAGAGAGCACAAGGACTGCAACAGGGGGACTCGAGCTCCGCAGGCGAGGCACAGATGGCTGAAACTGGAAGGATGGGGAGGATGTCAGATGAAAGGAGCAGCACGGGCCAAGATTCTGGAGCAGGGTCTTCGGGACAAGACAAAAAAGGCCAAGGGAGTGTGTGCACTCTAACCTGAGAGCACAGGAAAGGTTTTTAAAGCCAATAAAAAAATCCCATCTAGTTTTACTGTGTATAGTGCAGCTAGGACTGATGTAGAGGCCTAGCCTGGCACTAGGCATGGCCGCGAGGAAGAGGCGGAGGGTGCACTCGCCGGCAGATCACGCACGGCTGCCTCAGCCTCTGAAGACACGTCTCCTGCCTGGCTCTGTTCTCAGCTCTGCAGTGCAGTCTGCAAGAGCATTCTCTCCTTCTGCGCATGTCCTGAGCGCTCCGCTGGGACTCTGCACCCCTAAGCAAGTCAGCGAGCTCTCAGAAATAAATAGCTTTCTGAGAGATGGTACGTGGTCCTGGTGCAGACGTTGTGGGGCCGCTAGGAAAGCAGAAGGATGTCCACGGCCACTAACTGCGAGTCCGGCCCAAGTGACAGCAGCCTAAAGACCACATCCCTTTTCCTCTGTGTGGGGCTGGAGTGTGCGGAG